GTAAATGTAAATGATGCACTTTCTGCAAGATGGTCTTAATGCAGGACTGGGGTTATCTACTCTCAAGGTTCAACTTTCCACTCTTCCTGGTCACAAATTTTGCTTCTAACATTTTGATTCAGAGATTTTTCAAAGCCTTAAAAACCATCAGACCTCCAAAGAGGAATTTCTTTCCATCATGGGACTTGTCATTTGTTCTTAAGGACCTTTGTGAAGAACCATTCGAACCTTTGGATGAAATTTCTTTGAAGCTTTTGTCTTTTAAAACAACCTTTTTAGTAGCAATAACATCTGCTAAAAAAAATAATCTCCATAATTCACTATATTCTTTCCAGACAAAGTTGTCCTACATCCAAAACAATCTTTCCTTCCAAAAGTCATCAAGTCTAGGGCTATCAATCATCCAATTGTATTTCCTTCTTTTGGTAACCCGTCAGCCTCTGAACAGGAGAAAACTTGGCATATGCTAGATGTTAAAAAAGTTACATGCGCTCTCTCCTTAATCCCTATCTATATTTAAACAAATGGAGGTAATTTAGTTACTCCAATGGCCAATAGAGTAACTAAATGACCTCCATTTGATTAAATATACATAGGGATTAAGGAGAGAGTGCAGGTAACTTTTTTTTTTTTTTTCCTTTGGTTTTTACTATATATATTGGGGCTGATGTGTACTATGGTCATTGCTGCTGCCCAGCAGTGATGGGAGTGAGTACATGACTTATTTTTCTGTATTAACGTTTTGTATCACACAGCTTTGTTACAATGCTGCCACATATCCCATGTGTTCCCTATTAAGGGTTAATAGGTATATAGGGGTGTATATAAAAAAAATCTCTCTCTGTCTCATTGGAGATATCTTTGCCAGAAGCTCAAGGTAGCAAGGTGAAGGGTCAGTGTAGGACCCGCTTAGGGGTCTGCCTTGATGTTGGCAGGCGGGCATTCCCTCCAATGGCCATTGGAGTAACTAAATGACCTCCATTTGTTTAAATATACGTAGGGATTAAGGAGAGAGCACAGGTAACTTCTTTTTTTTCTTTGGTTTTTACTATATATATTGGGGCTGATGTGTACTGTGTTCATTGCTGCCGTGCAGGACTTATCTTTCTGTATTTCTATGCCTGATGTTAGAAGAGCCCTTAGGATTTATATTGATCGTTCATCTGGCTTTAGAAGATCAGACTATCTTTTGTTGTGTGGGTTTTTTTTTGAAAAATTCAAAGTTCTTACAGCTTACAAGGTTAGTCTGGCTAGATAGCCAAATTTGCTTACACCACCTCTAAATTGCCTTTGCCTACAACTTTAAAAGCACATTAAACTAGAGCTATGGTTACCTCTTGGACAGAAAAGGCTCAGGCATCTCCAGAGGATATATGCAGAGCAGCTACATGGTCTTTATTCAACACCTTTGTGAAACATTACAGGCTAGACATATTCTCTGCCTCTGAAGCGGCTTTTGGGCGTAAGGTGTTAGAAGCAGTGGTTGCCTAATTCCTGCCCAAAGTGTTTTCTGGGATCTCGATACATCCCTAGTGTACTGCCACCATATGTTAGGAAAAACTTTAATTTAGCTTACCGTAAATTCTTTTTTCCTTACTATAGTGGCAGTACAAGTTTCCCCCCCCTTTTTTAAATACATTTTTGCAGTAATAGGTCTCTAGTGTTTTATTGTTACAGACTGTGGCATCTTGGAAGGTTAGTACTTTATATCTAGAGGGGGAGGATCGTTTTATGTTAATTTGTTTCAGATGCTTGTCCCAGGGAAGAGCACATCCCTAGTATACTGTCAGCATACTAAGGAAAAAGGAATTTATAGTGAGTAAAATTAAAGTTTTAATGTTTTTGCATACACTTGCCTGCAATCTAAAGCTCTCTTCTGATAAATAGCTGGCTACTAATTTTGTCCTTTGAAAATACACCAATCTTTTTTTCATCAATGTGATTACTTCAATTTTTACTTTCACCTGTGATTTACTGGATAACATATTCAATAATAAGGTGTCATGACAACTATATGATCCAACACGCAGAACTAAGTAACATCTACATAGAATAGAATAGAAAAACAGACAGAATGTAAACCGGTCCTAAGAAATGGCCGGGTTAATATGTTGAAGAATAAAGAATAGTCAAGGGCAAGCCGAGGTCGAGGGAGCCGGAAATACACAAGATCGATAAAGCCAAGTCAGGGAAACCAGAAATTAGAATAGTCAGGAATATCCATAACAAGATCAGGAAAATGCACTACTGGATACCAGGAACGGAAACCACAACAGGGCAATGAGCTAAGGTATTCTGGGATTTAAATACTCCTCCTTGAGCTGTGATTTGTGAGACCTTGGCCTCTGACCTCAGAACGTGCATGTGCACTGATGTTGTGATGTTACATGCACGTTTGCGTAATTTTTGGAGGTGGGGCTTCAAATGGACACAACCTTGTGGTTGGCGCAATTTTGGATCTCGTTTGTGTGTGTGTGTGAAGGGGATGGACACCTCAACAGTCTGGCTCCCATCTCACTGCTGCACAGGTAATTCCTTAGTGTGGTCGCACCGATCTGGTGCGACCGCGAGCCAGGGAACGTGACATAAGGTTTTTTGTTATATCACAGATAGTGAGATATTATTTAACCAGGTGGTTTTAGCACTGTATAGTCCTTATAATTACAAAGGTAGTATCAGCCATGTATTTAGTCAGTCTCAGTGTTCCTAATCTATTTCACAGCACAATTTGGTGCCGGATCATACGGCTTGCATTCCTACACACTTTAATTGTAACATTTGTTGCTCTTCTGTTTAGGTTCTTGTTATAACGATATTAGTTACTTGACGTTATATTCTAAACACTATGATTCCTGAGTCTTATCGTTAAGATCTATATTAATCCCAGAATGCTAAGACAATTATACCAACATCATTTGTGGAGTCTGATCTTCATGACTGATTCAATTCCAGAGTGTTAAGGCATTTATATTAACACTATTTCCTCCTATAAAAATTTTTAGTTTGTCGTTTTTACTGTATTCACGTATGCTGTACACTGGCTATTATAACACTGGTTTCATTGGCTTGCACTATAAGATAGCAGTGGCAACCAAATACGCCTCTCCCCTTTCTTGCTAAAGTCTGATCGCTAAGACTGATACAGATTATACAGTACTAAGACATAATTCAAATATTATATTTCTTTACTAGGACTTTTCAGCTTTATTTGTACAGGTGCAATGTATGCTGGATACTGGGTAGATTTGACTATCCATTTCATTCTTCCTTTGATACAAATATAATATAATATATTTATATATCACTCTTACCCTTCTTTTTGGGATGTTTTACCTAGAATAAATTTTAAGTTTAGTTTTATATTGATTTATCAATTTTTCGGTCAGAACACGTTTCCAGTTCCTTTGCCTATTAGACCATTGGGTTCATGCCCCTTTGCCCTTGGACTATTCTGTATATATCCCTTTATTCCCCTTTCTTTATACCACTCTGGGGTTGTTGTGCTTGGGCATCCTCGGCCAAATTATAGAGAGATTTTTAATATGATGCAAAGACATTACTTATGTCTTTAGGAGAAATCACTTTATGCCCCTTATGTCTAATCAGATAGGCCATTTTCTGTGTGGCTTGTCTAGTTTTTAGCTGTTGAGCTACCAGTTTTTAGCTCTTTTCTATCTGAGTAGTGGGTAGCTTTGAGTCTGTGAAGATAGTATCCAGTCTTATCTAGGACCTGTTTCTGTATGTTCTGCGTAAGTTGTATAATTTGTGTTCTCAGTTCTTTTGTGGGGGCAGTTTTTTTTTAGTTGCTTCTATTAAGGAAGTTGATGCTTCGAATTACTGATTTATGTGCCTGCTACACTGTATTGTATGATGTATATTCAGACGTGTTCACTGTAAAGTATTGTTGTATCTGTTTTTGTGTATTGTGGGTCATTGAGAAGGGAGTTGTTTTAAAATCCAGGGGCTACGGTGGGTTGGGGTGAACAGGTCAGCCAGGGTTAATACTACTGGCAGTGCTGTATGTAGCCCAAAGTAAACTAAGCAGTTGCCTTGGGCGGCACTAACTAGGGGACGGCAAAATATGCCGCCCCAAACGCCCACTCAGGCGTCCCCGGTCTTTTCCCTTGTCATGGGTGGCGTGCAGCTGTGTTAAAATCAAAGGCAGCAGGGGAGCTGTGATCTTCCTGCTCTGCTCATCTGCATGCCTCAGTCTGACCCAGTGCTGAGTGACATCGGTGCTGGATTCAGGTGAGTGACTGAAGGAGTTTTAACCTCTTCAGTGCCTCGTGAGGGGGGGAGGGAGTGCAGGAGGGCACTATAGGGAACTTTCCTGGCACTATTGTATCCCTTTTTTAAAAGTAGGAAAAAGGAGTCTAAAGAGAAAGGGGTGGGTTCTTAATCAGAAAAGGGGTGTGTGGGGCAAATTTAGATAAGGGGGTGCTCAGGTTTAGTCATGCCTAGGGCAGCACAAAACCAAAATACACCACTGACTACTGGGGCATGGTCCAACAATGTGATCTGCTTTATAGAGCAACTCCTGACTTGATTTAAGTGTTAACAAACAATGCAAATAGTTGTTTAGGCGCTTCAGAAAATATGTCAAAATTGAATTGGATAGTGAGTGTGATAAAAAAGGTGTAATCCCTTATCACCTTAAATCAAATATTAAAGATTAAAAGTAAATTACACACACAGTGTATATAGTATATCATTATACCACCTATTGTAGATATCCACAATACTTTTCACATCTGGAAAACAAATAAAACATATACTGTATAGTGCTCGACAAATTTAAAATCCAAAGATTGCGTTCACAAAGGTAGAGCCGTATCAGGCTCTATGCATATACCCCTTGGGTGCCTATACAGGCTTCCGATTAGCCCCAGTCAGGAAACACAAAGTCCAGACAAATGAGTGTATGAATATAAACTTATTTAAACAAGTAATATTAAAAATAAGGGGCAAGGATAAGGCAGGTATAATGCAAAAATATAGGTAAATACATCGCAAATATGGGCAAAGAATAAGCAGTGCATATAAAGAAAAATTTAGGTATTTTTATGCTTATTTCTTTATATGCTCTGCTTCTTCTTTGGCCATATTTGCAGTGTATTTACCTATATGATTGAATTATACCTGCCTTACCCTTGTCCCTTAGTTCTTGATATTAATTGTTTAAATACATTTATATTCAGACATCCATTTTTCTGGATTTCGTGTTCCTGACTGAGGCTAAGTGCAAGCCTGTATAGGCACATGTATAGAGCCCGATACGTCTCTACCTTTTGTGAGTGCAATCAACATTTTTTTTTTAAACTTTGGATTTTAAATTTTATGGAGAGCACTGTAGCGGGACAATGCTACTAAGGACCATGCCCACTGAGTATTCAGATGTTTTGGTTGTGTATGTTGTGTCCACAATCTGTATTCTCATGATTTTCCCTTTGCATCCTGTGTTTCCCCATGTATTGGTTATGCATTTTGTGTGATTTACCTGGTTTATTTTTAGGGTTCCTATATGTTTGGGATGCATATTTAATAGCTTATGTTTTATGATGTGCAACTCTAGTGCCTGGGGGATAATTTGGGGTTTAGCAATTGTCTCTTTTTGCTATGGTATTGAATCAAGGGATTCCTGTTTCTAGAGGGCCTGATCATTACCATATCAAAAGACTTCCTGGACATGTTAGTGTGACTTCCCACACCATACAGAATAGCTCTGCTGGAATCCAAGCTTCAAAGCAGGATTGGGGTTGGAAGCTTGGACATTCCATGCAATCCAATTAGACCATTTTGAAATTGGAAATTTACTTTTGAGGAGTTTATATGGTTTAATATGTGTACCTGTATGTGCTGTTGGTATCTCCCAGAGCAGGAGATGGCTATCTGTAACCCAGCCCCCTCCTGCCTGGGATTGTGTTGTACTGAGTGGAGAACCCCTGCTGCGGTCTGGGCATAAAGGCTGTGTGTTCAAAATAAAGATTGAGAATCAGCCTGGCAGAGTTCAGTGCTTAAACCTCCAGAACTGTGTGTTGTCCTTTTACTGGAGGGAGGGAAGATTCAACCCCTGTGTCTGCTGTTCCAGCTTGCAGGGGATTCAGAAGAGTTAACCCCTGTGCCTGCTGTTCCAGCTTACAAGGGGTGCAATATGAAAAAGTCCTTGTATGGACTGAGAGCTCCCAGGGCTGAGTGTCCCCGTCTGCCTGGGAGCGCATAGAGCTAAGCCCCCTAAGCATGCAAGAGTTCCTGATTGGCTGAGGGAAGGGAACTAACAGGAGGTCAAGGTTAACCAGGAAGGGACATCTCGTAACAAGCACTATGTTTTATTTGTTTTCCAGATGTGAAAAGTATTGTGGATATCTACAGTAGGTGGTATATATACACTGTGTGTGTGTGAGTGACTTTTAATCTTTACTATTTGATTTAAGTATTGGCCGGTCACCAGAACTCCATCTCTCCAGGAGTATTGTTGTGCACGCTAGAAATGAAGGTGTACCCTCTCTCTTTAATGTGTGTAGCTCTCCATACATCATAATAATGGTGTGGTTGGAGCAGTTTTTGTATCGCTTTTCTGTCTCTTTAGTGGTCTCATCCTGGTGTTATTGGGTGAAGGCAACATTTGTGTTAATGAGAATGGATGTTCCTTTGGATTTATTAGAGTAGGTTGTGGGGAATTGGTGTGGGTATTCCAGTGCGAATAATGGGGTGTGAGCTGAAGTCTTAAAGTGTGTCTCCTGCAGACACACTACTTCAGGTCCCACAGAGTGCAGCTCTTTGTGTAGGAGATGCCTTTTTTTGAGGGGACATAAGTCCTTTTGTAATGTGGGGGGGAGGGACTTGTAACCCCCCCAAAAAATAATATACATTTGTATGCATATATAAACGCATGCACACGCACATACACTCACAGATATACACTCAGACATACATATATATATATATATATATATATATACATACACACACACACACACACACACACACACAAATTATTTTTTTAAATTTAAAAATGTCCACCCAGCCTCCCTACCTGGAGAGCTGGCATGGACCTGTCCCTGGGTCCAGTAGGGCTGGCACCTCTGTCAGACATGGCGAGGGAGCTGGGTTTCCTGTCATATTCTGGCTCCCGGCATCAGCAAATGGTGCGCGAGGGAGCAGAGCATAGAGAACACAGCTCCCTTGCGGCGTCTGATAGGTAGATAGGGGACAAGGGGAACATGGGGGTATTTGGGGCGGCATTTTTTGCTGTCCCATGAGTGCCTTTAGGAGCAATGGGAACGGCGTTCCTGCTGTAAAAAAGTGCAGGAACGTCGTCCCCATATGTTCCTGCAGGACTCGAGCCCTGGTGTCAACCCATTCACTGATGGTGGACTGTCCCCAATGGTTTGCAAGGTTTTCTTAAGCATTGTTTTACTAGGAGCCCCGGGATAAATCAGAACTTTATTTATTTATTCCTGGGTCACCCACTTTGTTGGTGGTCTGAGAGGAAGGGCGTTTCGAAGGGGCGACTTTTCCTCTGGAGCGTTTTGAAAAGGCTTTGTAGGTGGGCGTGTAGATCTGCCATCCCCAACATTTCAGCAATGCCCCATATCTGTAGGTTATTTTGCCATGCTCCATGTTAAACTTAGGAATTAAAAAGACTAAGGCCTTAATAGGCGTAGCCAGGGAGGTAGGGTGGCATCTAAACAGGAGCCTTCGCGAGGAATCCCAAACTTTTAGGGTTGTGATCGTGGTAGGGAGTGCATGTGTAAGATCCGGCCTTTGGGATGGGATTAGCCAAAGTAAGGCTGATATGTCACAGTGTTGCGTCCAGTGTCATTCAATTTGTACCCACTGCGGTGGGCTGGGGCATTGTTGAGCTGACAATAGGCTGTTTAGGATAACTGCCTTATAATACAGCTCCAGGTTTGGTAGGCCCAAACCTCCGGATCGTGTAGCCTGTGTTTTAGTAAGGTTTAATTTATAGTAGGAGCATCGTTTATAAGAATGCAGGATTTCGTTGAATGCCGGCAGCGATGTAGAGGGGTTTGTGAAGGTTAAGAGTGTCATCAGCAAAAAGGTTACATTTCATGTCTTTGTCCCGATACAGAAACCTTGGATATGATTGTTAGACCGAATCATGGCCGCAAGCGGTTCTAGTGCTATTATGTATAGTAGTGGGGACATTTGTGATGTGGAAAGGGTCAGAACTAACGTCTGCGTTGGGAACTCTGGCTGTGGAATTTCTATTTAATGTTTTGACTACTGCTGTGAATTGGGGTGGGAAGTAAAATTTTTCCAGGACCGCCTGCAGGAAAGACCAATAAAGGCGGCCAAAGGCCTTTTTGGCATCAAGGGATAACATTAGGTTATTTTTGGCCATTTTATGCATGTTGTTATACAAAAGTGCAAGAGGCATATTTCCGTGCTTTTAGCTTTGCGTGTTCCATCTGCTCCTTGCCTCCTGCTAATAAACCCGACCGGGTCTGAATGTATAATAGCAGGGATAATGGAAGTCAGCCGATTGGCATAGATTTTAGCTATGATCTGCATGTCCGAATTCACTAAGGAAATGGGCCAAAAATGTGCACATTTAGTTGTGGGTTTGCCCGGCTTGGGCAGAGTTGCCACATTCACCTCAAGCATTTCCTTCTCGAGTGTTAAAGAGTTTAACCATTTGGGGGGCGAGGATGAAGGAGAACCTCTGATAATACGCATTCAGGAACCCATCCGGGCATGGTGACTTGTGCAAGGGTAGATCTTTGATTACTCGCTCTACTTCGGATAGGGTAACTGGGTCTTGCAGATGGCGGATTTGAACTTGTGTTTTTAATAGTGGTATGTCTACTTTGGCAAGAAAGTGTGAGATGTGCAGAAGTGGGTTGATGGACCGTAGAGTCCTCCTTGTAGATTGTTGCTGTAGAATTGTGCAAAGACATTTTTGCCATCTTCTGTTTGTATGTATGCTATCTTGGATTGGGCATTGGAATCCCATAGAATAGAAGAGGGGAAGAGTCTGCGCTAACTCAAAAGAGCAGCAACCCTAAAACCCTACTTGAAAACATTAATGAGATAAAAAATAAAAATAGAGATGAGCTCTTAAAGTATAAACCGAAAATCAAAAATGATTCTATATCTCTTCCTATTTTAACTATACCAATAAAAGTAAAGAAATAAGGAAGACCATTCAAAAACACTGGCACATTCTAGAGCATGATGAAAAACTCTCTAAAATTATTCCAGAAAAACCGAGTATAATTTTTAGAGGCGCTCCTAATGTTAAATCCATTTTAACTACCAATTTTACCAAAGAACCTAAACCAAGTAGTTCTGTAGCTTTTTTTTTTTTTCCCCTCAATCTTCAGGCTTTCACAAATGCAAGAATTGTATTGTATGTAAAACAGCTGATCCTACAATGCCACCCAAAATTACACAATTCATCTCAAATAAAACCAAAACCATTTTCAAAATAAAAGAATTTATTATGTGTAACACTAAAAATGTCATCTACTTATTGGAATGCCCGTGTGGCTTCCAATACGTTGGGATGACCACTAGATGTCTGAAAATAAGATTAGGTGAGCATTGTAGGAATATAAAAAGTGTTTTTTTTAAATCACTCTCTATCAAAACATTTTTTAATTCAAAATAAAGATCCCAAAATGTTAAAATATATGGGAATAAAGAAATGCTCTTTACCTTGGAGAGGCGGAGATATAAAAAACATTTTAGGTAAAACAGAGATGGAATGGGTCTATAACTTACAGACCCTAATACCAAATGGACTTAATGCAGGTTTTGACCTGCACAATTTTTTATAATTAGGTCCCTTTAAATTACATCTCCTCCCCACAATCAACTTTTATAACCATTTTTTTTTCTCTTTTTATTCTATTTTATATTTTTTATTATACTCTTTTTTTTTTTTTTTTTTTTTTTTTTTTTTTTTTTTTTTTTTTTTTTTTTTTTATACCTATTATTAATCTTACTTTCAGTTTTAGTTGAGTGCTTTTAAAAAACCATTCCCTATAAAATAGTATTGTCTTTATCATTATTTTTATTCATTCTTATTAATATCAATACCCTTAAGTGTGTGTTTCTTGCCTTTTATAAGTATATGTATTACTGTGTACTGCA